AAAAAAAAAAAAAAAAAAAAAAAAAAAAAAACAGACAAAGGCAGGACTGCAGGAGTGAGGGTGAGCAGGACCCCCAGTCCCAGTCTCCTGTTTCTTGATGTAAGTGCTGGTTCTTCCGTTGGTGAAAATTCCTACTTATAATATACCCCCCTTTTGTATGTGAGTAATACTTTGATAAAAAGCAAAAGAAACCAAAAGACAAAGAGACTCTTCACCCCTCCTTGGGTTACATTCTGACCCCTGACCTCGTTATTGCAAAGAAAAGGTGGTGATATTTATTGGGAATCCAAGGTAGCAGAGGTTAGCTCTCAGCATGGTCCTTCCCACCAGCTCAGATGTCATGGAAGCGGGCTGGGATTTGAGTATATAGTAGTCCTGTTTTACCAGCCATGTGACTGCTCTCTCCCTGTCTTCCCTGGTTTTCAAATGAGAGGAACAGGAGTGCTGCTCCTGGGTGTCTCCAGCAGGACACTGGGTGCTCTAGTGCTGGTGCCGGTAGGAAGGAGCAGGCCCACTCTCCTCCCAAATAAGGAAAAGCCAGGGCTCGCTGGGCCTTCAGCATGAACTCCTAGCCTTGTGTGGTGGTGCACACCTGTAATCCCAGCATTCAGGAGGCCGAGGCAGGAGGATCAACATGAATTTGAGACCAGCCTGGGCTACACAGCCAGGCCTTGTCTCAAAGAAAAATTTAAAAACCATGAGCTCTTGGAAAGGATTCCAAAATAGCCATTGCTCAGAAATCAGAGTCATTTCCCAAGCTCTGCTTGTCTGGTGTGTCTCTTCTGCACAGGGAAAGCAGTACCTCTGGAAGCGCATGACAGTTCTGGCTCACATGCTCTGGCCCTGCTGGGGATGTGCCAGTGGGAGGACACTGGTGATGCACGCACCTGCTGCAGGGCCTTTGCTCTTGCTGTTCCTTCTGCTGAGTGTGTCCTTGTCACACTGCTCCCAGCTCTGCTGAGCAGAGCCCCCCACCAGCCCCCAGGAAACCTCCCTCACACCTAGTTGTTTTAGTGGCACTCACAGTAACTCTGGAAGCTGGGTGTCTTAGCCCCACTTTATATGTGGTGGGACCAGCCAATGCAGCCACTCCTCCCAGGAGGCCACCTGTCTAGCAGAGGCCTGGTCCGGCACAGTAGGGTCCCAGAGGAAGCTCCAGACTGTGTGCTCCTGATGTATTCAGCATCTCTTGAAGTGGAGTCCTCTCTGTTGCTACTAATCACTGTGTGTTTAGCCCTAACTGCGCTGAACTATTTTTTGCTCCCTATCAGTGTGTCTGCCTGCCTCCCGCTTACCTCCCTCGCTCTCCAGTTCCTTGTATGCAGAAGCACAGTCCTGTTCCTCTAACCCAGCCAAACTTCCATGTTGCCCGATGCTCCTCAGAATGTCCATGAAGCTGTCCCTGGTTGGCCCTAGGCTTTACCAGTGGCCCAGCTCTCCCTGGTGGTTGGTGGGCCTCTGGGCCCTCTGGCTTTGTGTCCTCTCTGCCTGCACATGGCAGTGTGGACACCATCTGTGTGATCACGGCTCACCCAGGAGGTGTCCTGGGAGGGTGTTGTTACGGACTCTTATACACACATGCTCAAAGAGCCTCTGACACCTGCGACCCAAGCCGGTGTCTGGTGCTGGCCAGGTTCTGCGGTTCCACTCTGGTGGTAATGGGAGGAGATAGAGGTCATCAAGAGATATGCTCAGCCCAGTCCTGCCTCACCCCTAGCCTCGCCCTGGAGCCTGCTGCCATGCCTGGTGGGCCAGGAAGCCAGGGACGCAGGACGACCTGACGGGGCTGCGTGCTCTTGGACACCACTCCCAGGGAGCGGCTGGGACCCAAGAGGGAAGACGGCCTGGCCCCTGGGGTTCCCAGGAACATCCGGAGAGGGCACCTGACCCTTCCTGACTCAGATGCAGAAGCAGGACTGACAAGGGAACACCGCAGGCGTGTAGGTGCACGTGGCACTCCCCCTGCGGTGGCTTCCATCCTGGAGCTTCCCTGGAAGAACACAGGGGAAAGCTCCGGAACCTCCCTGTTGAACCTCAGTTTTTCTTTCCCATGTCCACTTCCGATTCCATCCAGCATGGGGTTTTCTGCCCCGTGTGTGTAAGGAGTTTCCCCAGCCACGGCCAGATGGAAGTGCACCTAGCAGTCAGACTTGGATGCCCGGATGCTGCCAGGCTGTCCCTACCCCCAGGGCCTCAGTGTCCAGCCAGACTTGAGCACAGATGTCGGTGGAAGTCGGCCTCAGCTCTCCACTCAGGCCCCAAACCCACATCCTGGTCCCGGTCAGTCAGCTGACCTCAGAGGCTGCGATGGTTGGGGGTTCAGCCTCTTCCCTCCATGGTAAGGTCGGGATTTGAGGCTGATTAGGGAGCAGACAGGACCTTGAGCAGTAGTAACAAGGGTTTTAATAGGGAGGCAGGGACAGCAAAGTCCCTCCCAGTAAGAGTACAGCAGTGACCGCTCCAGGGGAAAGGACGAGAGCTCTGGGAGCTGCCGCCAGAGGGAGCCCATGTGTCCTGGTGATGTCCCTTGGCCCCATGAAGATGCATCTCAGCTCCAGAGCTCTAGGGAGAGAATGGGCTGGAGTCTTGAGCAGCTTCAGGATTTTCTTCTCTATGGCAATGTCAGCTGCAGTTTCATAGAGTATTTGAAACAGGCTGTTGGCTGAAAAGATCTTTTATTTGGACTATACTTAAAGCAATAGGATGTGAGGCTTGGATTTGGGGGCCCAGTGGGCTTTGGGCTGATGCTCTTACCTGCCGAGAAGATAACAGAATGAGTCATTTCAGGCTAATGCAGGGGCCACTTGGGTCCATTTACCGAGCATCCCCCATACCTCTCCTAGGTGTCATATTTCCTTCAGCGCTAAATGCTGACCTTCTGAGAGTTCTGTTGAATATGCTTTTCCTGGTCTTGTTAAAAAGCCATTAATGAGGGCTGGGAATTTAGCTCAGTGGTTCCGCTGCCTGCCTTGTAAGTGCAAAGTCCCAAGTTCAATCCCTGGTACCAAAAAAGAAGAAGAAGATGCTGCCATGAGCATTCTGTTTACTCCTCTTGTTTATCTCTTCTACCTCCAAGCCCTAGCCCAGTGTTGGCAATGGAAGAGGGGCCAGGAAATGCACGTTGGACTGAACAGAAACCAAATGAGGTTGCTGTCCTGCCAGGATACAGAGATGCCACTTGTATCTGGTGACACGAGCAGAGCTGATTGCCCCACACTGAAGGGGCTCAGCATGCTGACTTTATTGCTTGCACCTGTTTCTTTTTAGTCTATGTCCCGTGCCTTCTTTCCCAGGACTGGCCATTGTCACTGCTTCAGCACAAGGCCTGCCTATAAAGTGCAGAGAAACTGAGGCTTAACGAGAGTTTAACAAGGGCACTGTGCCCTTTTGTCCACCTTCACAGCAGGCTCAGCTTTGCTTCCCTTGGCTGTAGATGGGAGTTTATACCCAGCTCTCAGTCCTTCCCACAGCCCTCCAAGATTGCTGAGCAAATAAAGAAATGGCAGCCACAGGGGGAAAGAATTCCCTCAAGGTCACACCATTGGCATAGGTCGGGGTCAGACCAGAATTCCAGCCTTAGGTCTAGAACAGTATTATCCTCTGCCATTATAGCCACCATGCCTTGTAGAGAGTGACTGTCCTGTTCTCTCTCTCTCTCTCTGTTTCTCAGGGAGCCTTGGTGAACTCTGCCATGGTAATTTAAGGAAGCTCTCGTAGAAGTCCTCACTTGCAGTTCCCCAGTGTCGGGAAGGCCTGGACTCCAAGATGATTGTAAAGGAGTATCGGATCCCTCTGCCGATGACTGTGGAGGAGTACCGCATCGCCCAGCTGTACATGATTCAGGTGGGTGGAGGGCAGTGCGGGCAGGTTGGGATTCTGAGCACCGTCTGAGCTGCGCTGGCTTCTCGCTTCCCCGCACAATTCCAGGCACAGGCACACAGGTGGGGGGGGCACTCGTGGATGGGTGTGGCATTGGGTTGTTCCTGTCCCCACATTCCCAGCCCCTACAATGCTGACAGTCTTCATCACCTCAATGGCCACTTATCATCCCCAGATGTTACCTCAGTCTGCCTTCAAAAAGCCCCATAGGCTGGGGACTTAAACATCACGGACTCACTTTCGGTGAGATCACAAGTCCCAGACTGGTCTGGTGGCTTTGGTTTCCATTGAGGACTCTTTTGCTAACCTCTTCTAAACCTAATTACTTCCCAAAGGTCGCTTCTCCAAATATCATCATACTGGGTGTCAGAACTTCAACACTGAATCTGGGACGGGGACACAACATGCAGTCCATGACACCTCACCTAATAGCCAGGAAATACATGTTGAACTGAACAGAAACCAAACGAGGTTGCTGTCCTGCCAGGATACAGAGGTGCCACCTGTACCTGGTGACACGAGCAGAGCTGATTGCCCCACACTGAAGGGGCTCAGCATGCTGACTTTATTGCTTGCACCTGTTTCTCTTTAGTCTGTGTCCCGTGCCTTCTTTCCCAGGACTGGCCATTGTCACTGCTTCAGCCCAAGGCCTGCCTATAAAGTACAGAGAAACTGAGGCTTAACGAGAAAGGCCAAGGATTTAGTTCAGTGGCGCCATGCCTGCCTCACAAGCACAAGGTCCTAAAATCGATCCTCAGTACCAAAAAAAAAAAAAAAAAAAAAAAGTTTAACAAGAGCATGGGGTTCTTTTGCCAACCTTCGGAGGAGGGTGAAGAGGTCAAACAGCCTTCCCAGGAGCATGCACCCTGTCTCCTGGACTCACACATTGCCCACACTGTGGCAGCTGGTACACAGTCTCATGGGTATGAGCAGCCAGACTTTCACCCACTCCCAGGAGACGTTGCTAGTTTTCCTCCTCAGGGCCTTGCCAACCTAGACATAGGTCCAGAGTCCTGGGACCCAGGATGCTTCTGTCCCAGACACCAGACCTGGCCACTGCTCCACATGTTGGGCCCCTGGCTGGGGTCCTCGCTCTGCTGAGACTCTCTGGCCAGCCTCCGGTTTGGTCCAGGGCCAGTTCTATGCCCAGCCTGGCATCAGCCTCCAGGCAGCAGGCCTCAGTGCCTCCAACACTGATCCTGAACAGCTGTCAGCCTGGCTGTGGCTCCTGTAGTCCCTGTCATCACGTAGGGCTTGCCCCAGGCCAGCTTCTTGCTGCACAGTCCCCATGTCAGAGCATCACACTGAGCTGCTGCCAGCAATGGGGCACCCCTGCCTCCCCTTCCCACGTGTGCCTGGTGGGTCTACACCTCCCTTCCAGTCAGAGAGGGATTATGCGCCCCCAGCAGAGCCTAGAGCCCCTGCTCCTGCTGGCGGTGCTACATGAAGCTGCTCGGGTATATAGCCAGGCTCCCCACATGGGCGACGTGGCTGAGAAGAGAGGGGGAGGTGCCCAGCCTCTCTGGGGGCTTGTTTGCTTTGAGCTACTTCAGAAGCGCCACTCAATTCCCTCTTGAACCACTTACCCCTCAATTATTTCTAGAGAGCAGGAAGAGGAAGAGGCTTAAATCAGGCCCAGGCTCTGAGCACTCTAGAAATAGTTCAGCCCATCAAGGACCAGCCTCATCTGCCACAATGCTGTTTGCCCTCCGCTCCTGCCCCAGGGGTGAGCTCTCCACCACCACAGTAGGCAGCATCTCAGCTGTACCTGGCCTCTTGGGTTGGAGGATCAGGGTTGGAGCACAGAGCTCCAGCCTCGAGGTTTCCCAAAGCTCTTCTTGAGCAGAGTCAGCCCAGGTGGGGCCTCTCCAAACACCTGCCATCTCCCATTTCCTATGATGCCTCCCATGAGCATAACTGATAGCGGCCCATGACACTATGCGGTGCTTAGCCCTTCCTCTGCTCCCCACAGCCCGGCCCTGCCCTCTGGGCCAGCACTAGTGGCGTCTTTTGATGAATGTCAGGCTGCAGACTAGGACTGTGGTAGATGGAGATGCCCTGCACCTTGCAGATCCCTGTGTCAACACAGTGCCTCCCCGCTGACCAGAGCCAGCGCAGCCTCAGTGCTAGCTAGGCTCATCCATGAGGCCCTGTGCTCCTTCTGGGGAGCTAGCGCACATTCCCCGTCTGCTGTCCTCAACTGGAAAGGGGAAGCCAGCCAGGTGTCACCAGGAAAGGCATCGATGTGCTCAGTGCAGCACACCTGGGGACGTGGCTGCAGTACACACCCACTCGTGCGTGCACCTCGGTAGACATACCCATGCTCATACTCCGATTCCCATCAGCCTTTGAGAGGCCCATAGGCCCAAGGCCTGCAGTGACGTGGTGACACAGTGTCAATGCCAGCACAGCCACTTGCTCTGAGACCAGGTCCGTCCCTCTGGAGTCCCAGGCCCTGCCCAGGTGAGTAAAGGTGGTCTCCAACCCCTCCTCCTGGCCCACCTCGGAGGGAAGGCAGGAGTGTTGCATCTCTACCTAGGGAAGGCTTCGAAGCCAGGTGTAAGTGGAGGGTCCCAAGCAGATGTGTGCATACCCTGCTGGGGTTAGAGGTGTGGTCTGCTTCCAGGCAACAGCACACTCGGGAATCATGGTCTGTTGGAGAAAGTGCAGTTTTTAGGCCTCAGCTTGAGTTCCGGCTCTAGTGAACAGGCAAGTGAATCTCTCAAGCCTTGGTTTCTGTCTGGAGCATAAGCTCACCTCTCAGAGTCGCCCCTAATTGGTACTGAAAAGTCAATTTCCTGTCTTACAGATGGGGAAACTGTGGCCTCTGAGCCAGGGTTGGAACTCAGCTTCTGCCAGGTGGCTCCTCTGGCCCTGGAGAGCTCTGACACTCCTGGTGGGGCTGGGAGAAGCTCCTTCCGGCCTTGGCGGTGAGGGGGTGATGTTGGCAAGGGGACAAGGGAGAGGACAGGAGGCCTCCGCCCAGAACAGGAAGCAGGCGGCAGCATTCCGAGGAGTCCGTGCCCTCAGTGTAGCCCAAGGCCTCCTGAGCCCCCACCTCCCATTCGACAGCCACCTCTGAGAGGGACCTGGTGGGGAATGGTGCTGGCAGTGGCTGCCAGCTGAGGGGAGGGCAGGGAGGGCAGCTCAGGTGCTTACGTGTGACCTTCCTGTCCCTGACACCCAGTTGCACCAGATTCCTGTCTTCAGAGGGCGATGGGGCCTGCTAGGGCTTCTCCATCCAGCAGGCTCTGCCATTCCAGGGCCTTGGTGCTCACTCTCCCCGGCCCCACGGACGGCCTCTGTCTGTGGCTCTGTCCAGCTCCCTCTGCTCCTGCTGTATCCTTTGTCTTCCCTGCCTCTGGGCCCGGAGTTTCTGGGAGTGGTGTCGCTATGGGTGATGAGTTCCAGGTATGCAGGACCACGTGTGTAGGCTCAGTGTGTGGCCCCCATACCTCAGCAATGCTGTTACAGTGGTGAGTTGGATTCACTGGGCTTTTCTCCACCCTGTCTAAGGGCAAATAAAGTGTGTCCAGCATGTCCAGGGAGACAGTACAGATGTAGCCAAGTGACATTCAGAGCAGAGCAGCCAGGGCTGGGAGCAGGTCTGCATAAAGGCTCCGGTTAGATGCTCCAGGAGTCCAAATGTTTTGTGCCAGGCCTTATGGGAAACTGTGTTTTCATGGAAAGCAGCAAGGGCGCTCAGTTTATTTCCCGCTGTGCCTCCCACAGCTGGTGGCAGCTGGGAGAAGGCCTTCCTTTGAACTTGCCACCCTGTAAGGCTGTGAACACAGGCACAGCTAGTGCTATGCCGAAGCTGCACTTGGAGCACCAGTGCTAGGTTTAAAAAGAAACAGCTGGCCTGTCTGGCGCACTGTCTGCCAAGGAGGTGCTGCCGGGATTTGCTGCTAGTGAACAATCCGAGGTGCTCGGCCAGGACCCTGGACAGCTCCTGGAGCAGTTTGCAGGGGTTTCTGGTCTGGTCTTCCCTATTCATCAGCCTGGCCTCTCTCTGCTGACACAGTCTCAGAGGGAGCTGCCATAGCTCTGATTACAGGACCAGCTAGCAGAGGCCAGGGTGGCTTCCCAGTGGGCAGTGAGCAGAGGGATCTGAGAAGAGCCTGCTCCCACATGGCATGACTGAGCCACCCTCTCCATCACTATGGCCAATGGGGACCCAGGGCCGGATTGAAGAGGGCTGTCCAAAGGTCTTAGTGACAGTGGAGACTAAAGCCCGTTGGTCCCTTTCACCAGTCTTGACTGAGCACCTGCAGCACAGAGGCCCAAAGTGCTCTCTGGGGTTGTGCACTTGAAGGCCAGTGCTCTGCCAGTACCCGCTGTGGCCCTTGCACCCTGAGTACCCACCCTGTCCATCCCCATGAGTGATCATGGCCACCCATGACCATCACCCATGACAGCAGCCCAGTGCCCTGAGCCTGAGACACGTCACCTGCTCGGATCCTCGTGATAGCTGAAGAATGGGTGGTATCCTCTCCCCTCACCGACAAGGTGTAAAGGAACTTGTCCATGGTACACAGCTGGCCCTGTCGGTCTGGAGCAGTGGCTGTCTGCCTTTTTCCTACCTTGAGATCTCCTGGCCCCACCAGCTCTCACCTCCTCTGAAGTCAGCTGTGCGGGCTTAGAGCAGAGCTGCCCTCCATCCCCCACCTTACAAGCTCCCCGCACCCAGATCAGACAGTCCAACCTCCACATAAAAATTGAGGTCACCTTGCAAGTGGCCAGGCCCGGGGTGGTGTGGTCTTTCTGTGTCACTTCACACTGGGGAAAGGCGTGGAAACAGGGCGGGTGTGGGTGGAGGTGGTGAGGACTCTCCGAGGAGATAAGTGGGGACCAGCAAGTGGTGTTCCCACCTATCCATCAGTGCTTGCCTGGCTGGTCGACTAGGGCACCTCCAAATTCAGGTCCTCCTGTGGCCTCAGACCATGACCTTATATGGAACTTGA